AGAGCTTCTGATAGCACCCGGGCATCCCTCTCCGGCTTCAAACCCTGGTTAGGACTTCAGAGAGAACTCGGGAGTCCAGGCCTTGTCATCCACATGTGACTCAGGCCTGCTTGTTTTCTCCCTTCTCCTCCCCCAGTCCTGCCAGTTTGAGGTCTGGAGCCAGCCCTGGTCCGGCCGGCAACGGCTGGTGAAGCAGGAGTGTCGCCCAGCAGGTAGGTCCAGCTTGACTGGTCACCCCAACCGCCCCCTCTTCCTGGGCAGGGCAGATCCATGAAGCCCTGCACCATTTCCACCCAGCCCCACCCACTTGGGACCTTTGAGTCAGTGTGTTCCACCCCAGAAGTGGGCGTGTTTCTGGACCAGCCCATCTTGTTCCAGCCTGACGGGGTTGGTTATGGTTCAGGTATACACCTAGAGGAAGCCAGCCAGAAAGGAAGTGACCTCACAGGCTAGGCTAGTTGTGGGCTTTAATGTGTGGCTGTAATGGTGATATTGGTGCAGCCCCCACTAGTTATGCTGGTTTCAAGTGCCTTTGAGGTGTATCGAACTCACAGCCCCTGCTGCTGTCTCCCCTGCCAGAGAGAACCCAGGTGTCCAGCTGTGCCTGACGGTCCTCTTGCCAATCCTTGCTCTGGTTGTCACACAGGGCCCTGGTTTATTTCAGGGTGGTTTGTTAGGTGCTCTGAATTGCCAGACTTCATGAGGCTGAGTTTAGGCTGGGGGTGGGAGGGAGTTGTGACTTGAAACCAACTGTAATGAGGTGCTGACAGCTGAGGGGGCTGCTCTCAATCCAATTAGCTAGAAATCAGGGTATTTTAATATGGAAATCAGCTGTGTTCACATATTCAAATGATGTGCATCTTAATGAGGTGGCTACAGCCAAGACCAGGCTGGGAGGCTCAAGGAAACCAGCCTTAATGAGGAGCTGACAGCTGAGGGGGCTTTGTTCTTGGTAGTTAGCCTGAGAGGGGAGCATTTGAATATGGAAATAGGTTGACTTTGCACATTGAAATGGATGCCTCTCTCCATGTCTCCAGAGCTGGCAGAGAAAGTCCAGGAGCTGGCCCAGACCCTAGGGGGGCTGGATGAGACCCCAAGAGGGGTGAGTGATGCTGAGGGACTTTCTCAGGTAAGTCACCAGAGTGGGGAGAGAACCCAGGTGTCTGGGTTCCCAGCTGCCCCTGCTCCTTCCCCCCGAGACCTATATCCCCCACCACCGGCGGCTTTCCCCCATGGGGTGGGAAGGGGGGGCCAGCATTGGGGGGGTTGAATTTAGTTGCGGAGGGGCTGTGGAGGTCCCTCCAGCCTGGCAGACCTCTGAGTCGCCCATTTCCTCCCCCAGCCGGGCCAGAATGCATCACTCCAGCTAGCGGCGCTCTTCAGGGACTTCATGAGCACCTACGGGAAACACTACAAGGATGAGGAAGGTGGGGGAGCCCCTTCCCAGGATCCTTTGTTGCTACCTCTTTTGCCTTTCCCAGAATCCTTTGCACTAGATCCCACCAAGAACCCTGCTTCCCTCCCTCCTTCTCTCAGTCCTTTGCTTGCGGCTCCTTCCATCCTTCCTGCTTCTCCCTCCATCCTTCCCAGAACTCTTTGCAGCAGCTGCCCGCTGCCTTCCTCCCTTTCTCTTTCCCAGAAACCTTTGTGTGGTGCCTACTGCTCATGTGGCTGGTCCCTGCCCCTTTCCCAGAGTCCTTTGCCCCATGCAATGACCCCTGATTGTCTCCACTCTTCTTGGACCTCTGCACTGATCCTTTACCCCCTCCATTGTCCTGTGACCCTTGTGCTGACCCTGACCTCTTCCCACAGTCCTTTTACCTCCATGCTGACCCCTGACCACTTCCAGGGTGCTGTGCCCCCCCATGCTGACTCCTGCCGCACTCCCAGAGTCCTTTGTCTCCAGCACTGACCTCTGACCTCACTTCAAGAGTCCTTGGTCTACTGTACTGACTCCCAACCCTCCGCCCTTTGACCCCCCAGAGGCTGCACGGCGGTTCGGGATCTTCGCGGACAACATGGCCAAGGCGCAGTGGCTGCAGGTGCTCGACCAGGGCACGGCCCAGTATGGGGTCACCAAGTTCAGCGACCTCACTGGTGAGCAGGGCCCCCGCAGACTTCCACCCCAGGCTCCC